ACTGCTGACTTGGCTGGAATTCCTAGCCACTTGTTTACAAACATTGTGTTGGGTAGACATTGGAAACCCACAAACATGTTGTGGTAAATAGATGCCGGGGAATGAGTTTGTTTTGTGCACTTGCAGTGAATAAGGTGCGTTGTTCCCTGTGGTAGCCGGGTCAGTTTTATGGCCCCTTTTACATTCTGTAATAGTGGCCTATATACAGCCAAAGGCCCTGTTAGTACATATGCGGGTTTGTGCCGTAAAACAAGCAGATCTACAAATTGCTGTGTATGAACTCTTGAACTTTGGCCTGTGTCAGCACAAGAGGTTTTTTTCTGCAGAGAGGGAGGGGTGCGTGTTTACATGGCTTCCCTTACCGCAGGGCTTCTTAGTATCTTACTGAGGCATTGGCCAATGGCTGGGTGAAAGTGACAACCGGCGGAAAGATCTGGCTGAAATATTACTGAAGAATTGGCCTTCTAAAGGCTTTAATCATTTTACAAAAGCGGACACTTTTTTGGGGGGGATGGGCTGAATGTGGTCTCTGCTAGTGACCCTTGTTGCATTTTGGTTCAGCCCACAGACTTGTAACGTTGTGCAAACTGATCACTGGTCACTGTGGAAAGTTGCGCTTTTACTTCCTTATTCAATAAGCTTCCTACATCATACACTAATTAATTATTCAACAAGAATTCACCTTTTATTGGTCTGACTGGAATCTGCAGTTTGGTTGCTATAGATTACTGCAGGGGTGGACAAATTTTAATATAGAATTTAGGAACCAGTCTGTCCAATCCAGGAGTCGGCAGGATTTTATTAGGAGCCAGCTCCCTTGACAGCAGGTTAAAAACGTTAGGAGCATTGGCTACCTGCCTTGGAGGATTTGTCCAGTCCTGAATTACTTGCTCCATGCACTGCCTTACCAATTTAAATATGAAACATACTTGTATTTAAACACAGCGGACCAATAGGAAAGAGGTAGTGTTGCCCAAAGCAGCCAGTGAGAGTCGTATTTTACAACCTGCCCAGGAAACTGGCAAGTATATTGTCAATAGTGTCCATGTATAATGCCGTCATTGTCATCACCTCAGTGTCACTATAGCTACCTTTTTTTTTTTTTCTTGTAACCCAAAAATGTGTCACAATGTGCATTGTTATTAAGAAATAACTGAAACCTCGCAGCTGAGCCAGTGTCTTCTTGCTGTACATTAAACGAGACATCAGGGCCATTGCAAGTCTCGCATAACACACTTGTAAATAATTAACCAGCTTACAGTTTCCCCACTCTGCAAATATAGCACTAATTCCGATTTAATCACCTGCCCTGCGCCTTTGGTTAGGTTAAAGTTTCCTTTTGCTGATGTTATTTGCAACCCCCCCTCTATTAGCACTAAAATATCGGGCTTGATGTCTTTAAGCATCGGACCTGCAATAGGAAACTGTATCTCGGGTGTCTATGGATTATAAAGTGGTTACATGAGGGGACATGAGGACATTGGCCCCCTGGATTTGCCCAGTTCTAAAAGTTACGGGTGCCATTTATGGGAGAAGTGATGATTGGCTAGTATGTGTTTCTATGCTTGGAACAATTCCTAGCTGCTTATCATAATATGTTATAATAATGTCCTTCACGTCTGCAAAAACTTAAGTCATAGGATCTGAAGTTTATTTTAAGAGGTAGTTTACTGAAGAGTTGGGCAATTAGGAAGTGATCACTGCATATATATATCTTTCAGTCTGTGACTGGAGAATAATTGCATATGGCTAAAATGAATGCATGAGCCAAGATATTCTGAAACAGCCATATGACCATCTATTGACCAAATACAGTTGGAGATGACAAGTGTCTGACATCAGATGACCGAGTCATAAATTGGTCATACAATTCCTTTTGTAGATTTGTAGCTAGCATACCATTCAGACTAGGTTCACACCTGCACTGCACCACACAACACCCGGAACGCGTGTCCCGGGATCGCACGGTCCTGCACAATGCAGGTAGCAATTACCGCTCGGCCCCATTGTTTTCAATGGGGTGACATCCGCGCGACAATCGCAGAAAAAAGGTACATGTACCTTTTTTTTTTGTCTAATACACGTTGCGCAGCTGTTTTAGCGATTCGTCTGGCGCGACTGGGGTGCCATTAGGGATCGGTTCACACCTAGGTGACTCCTGACCGCGCGGCAATCGTGTGAGGTGTTGCCTAGGTGTGAACCTTACCTCAGTGAAGACATCAGACATGCAACATCCAGCCGATTTGGTAATAGAATGATTGGCCAATTGTCTGAACATTCCTGATGGAAGAGTCATACCTTATCTGTGACTTCCTTAAACTCTAGGTCACATGGGGCAACAAAAGTAGTTGCGTGGCTTCCTTTACTATTCTGGTTATCTTCATCTGAGTGGAAATTGGGTGGCCATACATCCATGTGACTTGGCAGTGTGTAGATCCGTATACATAGTGCTGCCACCAGTCTTTACCCAGAGACTGGCAGGACAAAACGTATCTGCTGAAATCTCACGTCACCGATTGCCAAATCTTTGGGGAAGAGCAATGATCAGCTAATATCTGTAGGAATATTTTAGATATGGCTGAATTGGTTAACCTTGGGGGTTTCTGCAGCGTAGGTCATCTTGTTGACCTTCTGCTTATAAGCTGATACTATAAAGTGGATGACAGTTGCTGTGTAAGGCCCCGTTCACACTGAGAGATTTATCGCGCGATTTTTGCAGCGATATCGCTCATATTTCCACGCGATATCGCTCTATGTAGCTTCTCCAATCCATTTCAATGGAGCTGTTCACATCTCGTTGCTCAATATCGCTCAATATCGCTTGTAGCTCGTCGCTGGTAGCTTGACGCTCCTACATGACCCTTTTTTCTAGCGATTTCGCTCCTGATTGCATACTGCCCAATAGGAACACGTCGTTCAATATCGCTCGTCGCGCAATATCGCTTAAAATGGTGCGATTTTCATGTCGCTCAGTGTGAATGGGGCCTTAGGGTTCATTTCTTCAGTCCACGTCATAAAAACTGCCTGAAGGGGAACTGCACTATTCTCACAATCCCCCTACATATGTTCCCTAAGGAAAGGATGTTCTTCTCAATCCCCTATCTTCCATGTAGTACGAAGGCCCCCCCTTCTTCTTCGTCACCGCACACTCCTCACTGACCTGACGTCAGCATTGACTTCCTAGCAGAACAGTAAAAGTTTCTTGACTCTTCCTCGTCACAGTCCCCGGCTGTTGTCACGTCGATTGATAAACACAGAGGCAGATCACTGAGTCACCCTGAGTCATCTTTCCAGATAATAATTGTGCCATGATGTCTGTGCTAGCTCCCTCCTACATACAAGCTAATATTAAACTGCTGTCTTGTAAGCGTGTGATACAATCGTGATGAAGCAAGGCGATTCATTTCACCCTCTCATTCAGACGGTTTGGCTTTTTGTCTTTTGAAGCAGAAAACCACCGCGCTCTATCTCCTTATTACTGGATTACTGCTCTCCGCTGCGGTGTCTGGCCATGCTGATATAGACACTGCATTTAGGTATTTTTATTTATTTATGTTTTTTATTCTAGCAAGAATCGGTTTTGTTTCCCTTGGCAGTTAAGAGGTTACTTTGTCCTTGTTACAGCAGACATCCATATAGACAAGAGAGGCAGCACTAGGACATAATTGGATCGAAGGCATAAAATGTCCTTGTCTGAGACCCACTTTCATTGATGCATCTTTGCGCTGCAAAAAAAAAAAGGGGGGGAGCAGTTTATGCCATTGATGTGCCCGTGTTTCATTCAGTAGGGTCCTTCGCCCGTGTGTTTCCCTGGGGATGTGCAGCATGCAAATCATGCGAGAAGTATCCTCAAAAAAAAAAAGAGGCAATTTTTTTTTCTTCCTTTTTCCTCATCTCACTAAATGAGCTCGCTGGAGCTGAATGGTATGTGACAGGAAGCAGTTGCTGCATTATTACAGTCTAGTATTATCTTATTTCCTGTATGTTACAGGAATGTTTGTGTGCGGGTGTGTGTAGAAATATACTATAAGTGTGTTATGTGATATATATTGTGTGTGTATATAATATATCTATATAAACAAACTGTCTTCTGTATATTTTAAAACTGAATCAAAAATAAACCCTTTTTTTTTTTAATTCTTGTTTAGGTCTGTGAAATCAGCAGCCATGAGTGGGTTACTAAAGCGCAAGTATGAAGCCCTGGTAGACGAGACCACATACTCCTCTTCCTCATCATCTCCATCCTCAGCTGCCACCTCTTCAGGAGGGGAATCCGATGACGAATACAGCTACAGTCCCCGGCCGATCATTGGGGATTACACTCGTAAGTAGATGGCCTTTAGTAGCAAAATATTTTTTTCAAATATTGTACAGAAAAACTAAAGCTGTTGCCCAGTGTGGGCAAAAAAAAAAGAGAGACAAACCATGTTGAAAGTACAAAAAGACAAATGCTGACAGCACTGCTTCTGCTGTACTGAAATCCTAACTTGCATAATCAATCTAGCCCAGTTCTTCCGTGCTGGACTACAGAACACCCTCCCTCCATAATTTGCTGTTTTCAGAGCCAGTAGTGCCAGGGCTGTCACCGTGTATGCATGCATACATTTATTTCTTTCACAGCAAAACTGTGCTGTCCTCTTGACTCCCAAGAGCCTGCCAACAACATGTATGTTGTGAAAGGCTCTTGGGAATTGTAGCTATGTGGGGGTGCCTACATCAATATGAACTGACCTAGTTGCACCCTGCTGATCCTTCCACACGGCAGCTGTCTCTGAAAGAATGTTACAAGCCTGGTGATGTCATAAGGAGTAATACAAGCTGTTTCATGCTTTAGGAGTAGGGTAAAAGAAAACATTATGTAGGGACTTGCTCTAGAGGGGAGGGGTTTCGGGGTAAATTTGGGTCTTGCCTGAAGAGCAGGGTTTAACAGTTTCTAATAAGAATTCTTGTTTCATTCTTAAACTTAAGGTGGGAAAGTGAAAAAAAGATGCAAAAAAAGCAACATTGTTGCCTATAGTTCCTTGGATGCTGTAGAAAATGACAACACGCTTCACTAACTTTCTTTGCTCCAGCTTTCATAAATCAAAATTGATGAGTCTGATGCAAAGAACCCAATCATGTCTGTCTTATCAGTACTGTAACTTTATACCAGAACGCTTAAAACAGTCTTGATATGTCCTAAAGTACCTCGTTGACCGATGTGCCTTGGACAGCCATTTGCATGTAGCTTATAAGCCAGTCCTGTATTTGTACTCCCATTCAAACACAAAATGCTGCCAAATATCAGGCTGGGTTTTCTATAGCCAGCAAACGTCTTGGGTCCCAGCTGCTGTGTAGTTTGACTGTAAACTGGTCTTTAAATAATCTGCATAGTTTCCGTAACTGCAGCGGTAAAGATGTCAACTCTTCAGCACCTGAGTAAACACACAGAGAGCTTTCCCTCTTTGGATTCTAGAGCTGTATCATATATAATCCCAGCACACACGCGTAATGCTCATTACTGTAGAGTGCGCTCTAAAACTTTAAACCTAATCCCCTGACATTAGACACTTTCCATTGGTCATCCTGGAAAAGCTGAAAGGGCAGAGCTTAATGTATTACATTTATATTGGCCATAGCTATGCAGGCTTATTTAACAAGGCAAAGCGCAAACTGTATGCAAAGGGCAGTAACCCACCGTAACCAAACTCGTCACAGAGTTTCTGATTGGATGGCTTGGGTTTCTGCACCGGACACTTTTTTCCTTCAAACTGAAAAGTGCTCTCAAGTACATTGGCCCTATAAAGAATAATAGCAAAGAAGCCTGATTGCTTTGCCTGCGTAGTAGAGTTGTATGGCCAAACCCAGTAGAACTCTTTTGGAGAGGGTAGCTCTCCAAATGACACATGAGTATATTGTAACCATTTATTGTAGTGGGAGTGTATTGTTTAAAAGTTGGGTTTAGAGCAGAGGTGCCCTTTAAAACTGGTTTGAGTAAACCAGAATTCCCGAACTACGTGTTCAGCATGCCTTACTAGTCAGCATCTGGAAAATGGCCAAATATAGGACCTGTCAAGAAATAGTATAAAGATTGTTCCACCTGAAGCCATCATGTTCATCTTTTAAGAGCTTACTACTGCAGAGCTGATGACTGGCAGGGGCTCTCTGCTCTCATTATGAAAACAAGATTTGAAATGATCAGTGCACTTCGGCACCAGTTAACTGTGAGCTGCAAACATTAGCACTGGGTGTCTGCCAAGCTCCTTTTGTAGTGAACAAGGGAGTGGGTAACAAGTGCTCAGACAACCATCTTTTCAAGCTGAATAGATTAGATAGGTGAGACACAACTACAGTGATTATTTTGAGCAGAAAAGCAATAGCAAAAAATAATGGTTTGTAAATGATGTACTTATTAGTGGAGGGATCTGAATTTAAAGATGGCGTAAGCTTCCTTTTTCAAAGTTCTGTTTTGTATGCTATACCTATGAGTCATACTTATTTGCAATTTCAGCAGTTTGACTTTTAACTATATTACTAGTCCTATTTTTCTTGTGCTTAATTACAGCTATGCATCTAATATATAGTAAATGTTTATCTGATATACAATATATATTTTCTGTTTTCTGCAGCTATGTCCATTTTAAAGAAAGCAAAACTTGCAAAGAAGAACAAAGTACATTTTGATCGGGTGGTGGTGTTCTACTTCCAGCGATGCCAAGGGTTTACCAGCGTGCCGAGCCGGGGTGGTTGCACTCTGGGCATGCGGCGAAAACACAGCTATAGCCGACAGTTTACTATGGAAGAATTTTCTAGGGAACAGTTGAACCGCCGCAGGGAGAAATTAAAGGAACGGTTAAAAGAGGAGAAGCTGCTGACATTAAAAAATATGGTAAGTTTTGAGGAGCTGATATTTCCCTGCCAAATGGGGGTTCTTGGGGCTCATTGCTGACACCCAATGTGTGATAGGCCACTACACAAAGGCATCTTGTAAAATACTATTATTGTTGTGGACTGTCATGTTAAAATGACAAGCTATGCATTATCATAGTAGTTGCTTCTTTTTAAGGAAAAAAGCTTACCATTCCCTTTTGGGGTGTAAATAATTTTAGCAGTGTTCTTACTATGCCAAATATTCCATATCCTATTTTTCTAATAATGGCGCTTTCACTGGTTAACTCTGTTTCTCTGCCAATATGAATCTCATTGTGCTATGGATGAGCTAACAATCGTTCGTTTTTTTCGCAGTTTACAATGAACGGTACAATAGAATCAGAAAAGGCCAATAACCTCAGCATAGACGACATCTGTGATGAAGATATAGACCTGACCAATGGAGAGCTTGAAGATGGCTTCAGTCCTCGCATGTACCCTTCCAAGAAACGGAGGGCACTGCTCAAACAAGAAGGCATCAAAAAAATTGATAAAACTGAAAAGTATGAGCTCAACGAAATCCGGAAATCACGAGAACAATGCGGGTGCGATTGCCAGGATTTCTGTGATCCAGAAACGTGCAGCTGTAACTTGGCAGGAATCAAATGTCAGGTTAGTATGGACTTGAAAAACCAAATATATATTTTTGAAGAAGGCTTGTCCATTAAAAAAAAAATAATAAATTTGTAGATCATAGCTGTAAACAATACCTGAAGTATTTTGGTTCTTATTACATTTTTTTTTTTTGTACTTAAACTATTAGTTTTCGTAGATACCGTTTTCCGAGCTTAAAATAATTAAATAATGCATTTTCAGTAAGTAAGAGAGGCTGCCTAGCCCATTACCTGGTTCCCCAACAACAGTCAAACAGGGTTGGCCACTGTGGCTGATTGCCCAGTAAACAAAAGTTGCTGGGATGAGACCGCTTGCATACTGGGTCATATCTAGTTGGCAACCCACCTATAAAGACCAACCAAGTGCAGCAGCCATTTTTTTGTTTGTACTAAATCAATTTGAGTAATTCAGTAATGTAGAATGTGCTGTTTCATTTCAGAGGGATCATTCCACTTTTCCATGTGGATGTACCAAGGATGGTTGTGGAAACCCAAACGGAAGAGTAGAGTTCAATTCATCCCGCGTGCAGACCCATTTCATCCATACGGTTATGAAACTCGAGCTTGAAGAGAAGAATCAAAATAATGAAAGAGACGATGAGCCAGATGTAACCTGTAGTGAACGATTGGATCCATTTGGATGCTCGTCACTTGACAATGATGAAGAAGACGACGACAACAGGACTGTTCCTACCAACACAACCACCAGTTCCTCCCCCTATCATTTCAACGTGGACATGGAACCAGCAAGTGAGAACAGCTGTAGTAGTGATACCACAGACAGCTCAAGTTCCTCTTCTCAGAGTGAAGTCTCTGAAGGTCCTTATGAACATGCCTCTTCGTCTGATAAATCCCAGTCAGACTTTGAGGAAGACTATCTTGCTAGGATTCTTCATTTCAATGATTCGGAGTACGAGGATAACAGCAGTGACTGTCAAGACAACTTAAGTTTCTTTCATAGCACGGATTTTTTCTGTGACAAAGTTTACGAGTCCCTTTATAGTTCCGAAAAATCCACTAGTGGGGTGTACTCAAACTCTTTATCGAACATTACAAAATGTGTCGATGAAAACGCAAACCAGGGTGCAGATTGCTTTTCGGACAATGGTGTGTCTGTGGCCATCTCTACTGATTCTACTGTGACACAAGGAGAGCCACTCTTAAAAAACTACATGGATATCAGCCTTTCCTCGGAAACCTTTGACTTACCCGATGAACCAGATTACAATTTTGGACCTCTATACAATTCGTTAAGCGAATATGATAATTTGTGTTCTCAGCAGTGTCTATTAACTTTCCTTCCTGGATTTCCACCAGCGTCTGACCCAACTGCAAGCTTCTTAGAATCTTTAATTAGTTCCTCGGAATCCTCTGGTGACAATCAATACTTAGAAGATGCCTTAAAATCGCCATCTCCTTTCGAATCGCTTATAGCGTAAACAGTGGATTACTGAATCCCATCTGTGGCATATTACGGAGACATTACTATGATGAAATATTTGAAATGTTTCTATGTTTTTACATGGATACATATATTTTTGGCCTTTATATGGGGAATACACATTTTTGGAATACTGCCACAGGAACCTGTTTACTACACATTGATTTTTGAACTATTTTTTTTTTCTTAGAAGTTACTTGTATATAAAACTGAAGAATTGTGATTTTGTTTGTAGACCTGTGAACAACTATTTTATGAATTGGGGGAGGGGGGGAAAGAAACTCCCATATGTTCAATGCTTTTAAGATAAACTTTATTCATGTATTTATTGTAAAATGAAAAATATGTGCAGAAGTAGTGTGCACTACTTGGGTTTACAGAAAACAAGAAAAATGTAAAAAAACAAACGCAGACTTTATATAGAGCTGTTTTATTTATTGCAAATTCCAGGAATGAGTCTGAAGCTTGAACTAGCAACAAGAGTTTTATTTAAATGGGAAATACCTCAGATGTATTATGAGTACAATCATATTTTTCCATAATATATCTGCATTATTTATAGACTAATATTTTCTGATTTGTATACTATAAAACAAGTGTTCAGTTATTTTCTCCCCAGTTCTGCATTAAAAAAGTGCAATAACAGCAGCAGTACATGTTCACTAAGAGCAGATTGGTAAAAAGAGGGGTGTCTTTAATGTGCAAATAGCACCTCGTTGCCCACGTTCCTCGTCAAGGGCACTTCTGTAAATCATAAGCCTGTGCCTTCCTTTTGCTCTACTTTGAACTGGCTTCATTTGAAGTCTATGAGAATCTATCGGACACCATAGAAGAGGAAGGCAGAGATTAAGGTACACAGAAGTGTCTCATACAGGGACTTTTTGTGTGCAGGTGGAGCTGAGTGTTGTGTATGTACCCTGCACTCACCTTCCTGTACTCCATTGATCAATTCCACTATGTGGAGTTGCCATTAAACAAAATGCCACTGATGACATCAACAAGCACAAGAACTTAGAGGGAGGTTCCAACATTTTCACATTTGTCAAATATATCATGGTAGTCTTCAAGTTTGATCCCCACCCACAATGAGTTCCATTTACAAGATATATATATATATTTCTTTTATCTATATTTGATTTCAGTTATTTAAACTTACCATAAATTATTCCTATTTATTTGAAGCTTCTAGGGATAAGGCCATACAATTCTATGCAGTTGGTTGGGTGTCCATGCCAAGAAACCAACCAACTTGGCGAAGTCATTGCAATATTAACATAAATCCAGAGCCAGAATAGGGGAAAAAAATTCAGATGCCATGAACTTGAGGTGGATTTGTTTTATATTCCACAGTAATATATGGCCCAAACTATTTATATAGATATATTATTTCTTTTAATTAAATATAGGTTATGTGCGTTGTAAAACAAAATTATTTATTTTGTTCATTTAAATACATGGTCTAATGGATTTTGTTTTGTTTTTTGTTCCTACAATCCACTTGTATTTAAATATAATATTACAATATTTAAGTTTTAAAATGTAAATGCAGATATTTAAGTGAGATTGTTAATTAAAATGAACATTTATGGGATAATTAAGTGATAAAGGTATGTTTTTATATTTTTCTTTTTAAATTATAAAACATGTTTCAACAGGGCCAGAGACCAAGCAGCATGTAACTCTTTGTATTTTTTTGTTGGCACTTCTCTGCCATAAGGTTATCTAGCGCTGTGAAGATTTATCACAAGGACTTTTATAAAACCATCCTATTACTATGACCGTCCAGTTACTAATTTGTAATCTATGAAAACTTTTTTTTTTGTGTGACCTAATTGGCTACTGTGAACAAGTCCTGTTTTAGCATAGAATGAGATGTATGAGAAAATAACCAAATTGGAAGTGCAGCTATAATCCTTTTTAATTCGGCCATGTTTTTTTTTTGCCTGAATATTATCAGAGCTCAGGAATCCCACATTGGCTTTAGTTGGCATTAAAGCATTGTTCCTTTTTAGGAACAAGGTGATCCTTTATCTTGGTTGCATTTTCAAAAAAAAAAATAGTTTGCACATGTTGAGTAATGAGCCATTGTTAGGTGGGTAATACAGCATTGAGGCACTGATGCTTGCTTTATTTCCCATGGCCTGAGCAGTGTGCCAAAATGCAAATGAGGAGATTTACCTAGCAACCTGGAGTGTACTATAAGGCCTAGTTCACACCTGGACGTTTTACAGCGCTGATTGACGCGCTGTGAAATCCCATTATTTCCTATGGGCATGGTTCCCACCTGGGCGTATTTCAGCGCGTAGGAACGCGCTGAAAAACGTCCTACGCCCAAAGAAGTACAGGAGCTTCTTTTGGGGCGTATTTCTGCGCAAATCCATTAGGATACAGCCGGATAGCCCTCGTAAACGCGTGTTTGTTGAGGGTTTCTTTGACCGCAAATCGCGGTAGAAACGCTCATCAAACGCGCATATTACGAACGCCCAAGTGTGAACCCAGCCTAAGGCAAGCAGCTAATCTGATTTTTTGATACCCATCGTGTATCAGTTAAGCGAAGGCTGATTTAGTGCCACTTACTGCACCAATGCTTCTTGTTACTAGATAAACCATAATGACCAGATTGTATAAAAGTATCGTTATTAAGGATGATGTTACTTCCAAACAGATTCCAAGTGAAGCTTTTGTGTCTGGCTTATGGCTAATGGGAAGTAACTCCAGTTCTTAGTGGAGACACTTGGATATTTCCGGCCTATAGTGTTATGGGTGGTGCAGTACACTCGGGTGAAGTAGTATTTAGACATGGTCCTCATTCTAGCGATAACACACAAGTGCCTTTGCCTGCTCTACTTCTGTATGCTGGTGTTTTGTTTGTACCAATGTGTCCTTTGCTGTACAGCGTATAGTAATGTGCATCATCTTTTCACTATAGAAATACATTCTGTTTGAAACTGCCCAGTACCAGCTTGCTTGAGCCCATCACCAAAATAGAGGATTTACAATCTTCACATAGCTCAGAGCTTGTCATATGTGATGATATACTATGTAATGATCATTTTATTCTTACTGGAAGATAAAACAATTTGTCAGAAGGTAAAGGCTCTAAGTGAAAGAAGCCTTTCCCTACTCATGCTCCACATACTAAGTCTGGAGCAGTGAATTGCAAGCTGTTTGCTAGTGTACCAACATTTGTTACAGAGATGGGGAGTTACTTACCCCATGGCCACCAATTGGATTCATCCTGCCTTGAAAGTCTTAATTTGTTTGGTGACTGTGGAGAAATGAACTGCAGTCTTTATTGAGTACACATTGAAATGACATGCCTTGAGTGATTGCCAAAAAACCAGACTGGACCACAGTTTCCACGGTGGGGTGGTATTTTGCTCTATGATAGCCCAATTAAATCTCAAATAAGTAAAAATGCCATCACTGCTGATACAATTCAGAGTTTAGTGGTGACATACTGTAACCGTGTCACCTAACTGGAATCCAGCTTTCAACAGCTTAGCTCGGGCATCTAATAAAAGTACATTCTGATTGGTTGCTGTGCATTACTGGACGCTGTGCCTGTCCTATGGGTGGGTAACACATTCACACAGAGCCCCCTAATTGGTTGTAAAATGTCTGAAGCCTTGTGGGACATATACTCAATATGGATAGCTATTAAAGCGTACCTGTCATGTACACTCTGCGGAGTCACCAATTGTGAATGCCGTCGTCACAGATTAGCGTGACAACTAGTCCTCACAAAATGACTTTTGGTTCTGTGTTTGTCAGAAGTGCAACATCACTCCTTTTTCACTAACCTTTGCCTACCATGACAATGGCCAACCAAAGTTCATCCTTTTATTGTTCCAACTGCTCTAAACTGATCCAACTTAACTTTGTGGACGTTCTGCTTTACTATGTACAATTGCCTATTGCGGTTTTGGGTTTGTCTAATGAGCCAAGCAGTTACTGTTGTAAAATATGCTGTCTAGTTCAAAGCCAAACTGAAGGGGCGCACTGTTCTGATGGTATTGTGAAACACTATGGGACGTGGTTTTGCTAAGGTCCGCTCTACCACTTTGGCATCCAACGTCTCTTAGTATTTCAAGTGTTAAACATTCCTGCTAAAACATAGATAACTCCAGTATTGACAGGCTGATCTTGATGGCATATTTACAATTAGTTTTCAAAGGCATTCATGGATTTTACTGTCTAACTTACTGACAAGAACAATCTGGTACTCACTGTATTTATTGGCACTAATGTTTTTGTTACAACATTCCTGGGTTCCTTTGCATTACATACATAATTTAAGGTAAATTTAAATTATCCTGCCTTCATATCTACATGCATTTAATTTATTTTGTTTTGTGCCAAAAGCCATGCATAAGATTGTATTTTGTTTCATCTGTGTTGTCTTTTTGCTCTGGGTATTTATTGACACGGCTTGTAACTATCGAACCTCTTTCACAATTGCTAACTTTGGCATTTTTGTAAATACTGTCTTTTTTTTTTGTAACATGATTGTTTTCAGCAATGAGAATATCTGCAACTGCTGTTTGTCATTTCATTAAAGCAATATGAAGAAAATATTCATTACACTTTCAATAAAAATCTTAAAAATGAATGGCTTTATCTTGAGGGGGTATTTCTTGCTGTTGCATCTTCAATCCAATACTTATTGGGGGATATTTGGAAAGTAGGTCGAGAAAACAGAACTATTTCTGCACTTTACTAAAAGTGACAATTTATTGGGTAATTTGCCTTGCAAAACGGCAAAAAAAAATTCTTGATCCCTGCGCACCATCACTGATGGAAAAGCTAGCGTAGTTTCATGTGGCTGGGTTGTGGGGGTTATTTTAATCTCTTAGGGCAATGGACTTTGGGGGAAATTTATGTAAACTGGAGCAGTAACCAATCAGATTATCTCTTCAGTTTGTCTGTTAAGCTTTCAGAATGAAAGCTATAGAAGCTGATTGGTTGTCATGGGCATCTGCTCCAGATGCTGCCTGCTCCAGTTTTGATAAACTCCCCCCACTGTGTCTCTTTTTTTTCAACTTAACTATGTAAATATGAGATTTAGGCCCCATTCACATCAGCTGTGTTGGGTTGCGATCCCTTTTTCAATGGATGCTAATGCAAGGGCACCGAAGAATGAATGGCTGCGAATTCACCGTGATCCCTTCCACTGCAGTGCAATGAAAAAAAGGAAAAACATGCTCTACATTTTTTTTCAACGTAACAAAACAAAAACGGATGTAATCGCAACGCAACAAAAGTAACAATATGTGTGTTTGTCCACTCAGGACATTAAAATAAAGATTGACAAAAAAGAGGAAAAAAATTAAAAAGGGAACGGAGGTTGAAACTGCAAGTCTACAGGCCCTCCCTTCTGATTTTTGGTGTGAA